CTGAAGACTGGAGGAATGATGCTGAAAATACAGCTTTGATCACACGAATAAATGACATTTTAACAGATATTCACATAGAAAATTTTAACGTGTAATAATATTTCTCAATATTACTGTATTTTGGTTTAAATAAATGCAGTCCTGGTGAGCATAAAATATTTCTTTCAAAAACATAAACATTTTAAATATATTTTCCTTTATATACTAAAATGCATTTTCTTCCTAGTGACACATACTGTAATGCATGGATGTGTTTGTGTGTGTTTTAGATAAACTGCTGGTGCCATCAAAATGGGTTCAGATGCACTGGAGCGGCGACAGAGCAACGCTCACTCTCTCACACCTCAACAAAGAGGACGAAGGACTCTACACACTTCGCGTCATCACCAAATCTGGCTTTGAGACACATTCAGCGTATGTCTTTGTCAGAGGTGAGGACCAATACACTCAACTATTTCCAGTTCAGCCTGCTGCGTTATTACAGGCCAAATTATTCATGCTGGTAATATTGATACTAACTCTTTTGGCTCTCTGTAAGCCTCCCTTCCCAGCTCATGTTTCTTTCTAAATTTATCCCTGTCGTGCTGTGTCTGTGCCGTCATGACATTCAGATGAAGGAGCTGTGAAACTGCCTCGACGAATGAAGTTCTCAACACTCGCCTAGTTAAAGCACTGCAGTACACTGCATTGAGGTTTTAATCAACAACTTTGTGAAAAAGAAGCACACTTTAGCATACTTTGTATAAGAGTTCTTATTATGGAAATTATATACTTTAAAAGAATATACTTGCTATATAAGTAAACACTGAAAAGATTGGTGTAAAACAATTACAAAGAAACAGAAATTAACTCTAATAATTTAGAGTTAAACTAGAGTTAGAAACAGAATTTACTCTAATAATCTTTGTTTTATTTACAACTTTGAAAACTAATTTTTACAGTGTATAAATATAATTTAAATGCAAACGGAATGTAATGTTTTTAGACACTTAATTGCAGAGGTTAATTGCGATTAAATGAAAATTTATAGTAAATGCAATTAGCTGAACTTGAAAGTGCTTTTATGATCTACTTAAGTAGGACTTAAGTACATCTTTATATGTAATTTCATGATTACTTCTGTCTTTGAAGTATGCTTAAAGTACTGCTGGATGAACTGGCAAGCATTTATGATAAACTAAAATACACTTTAATGTCATTTCTATTGAAA